ACTTCTATTCTGGAGCACCTACAACTTCTGGAGGCAGAAACCAACTTCTGGTTGGTTTTTCTCACTGTTAGGAAATTTCTCCTTAGTTCTAGGCTACTTCTCTCCTTGATTAGTTTCCTTCCATTGTTTTTTGTCTTGCCTTCTGGTGCTTTGGAAAATAGGTTGACACAGATCAGACAGCAGCTTGAGGAAATAGAAACCTAATACAATGGTAATATTGTGAATGAGTATTTCTTCCTCTGGAAAATGGGAAAATGTCTATTCTGAATAAATGCACTCTGACCAAAGTATGCTCCTAGTTCTTTCATTGTCAATGAGGCCTAATCTGTATGTGCTGGTATACCAGTTGTACCCACTCCTATACAGTAGTCCTCGACTTACGACCACAAAATTTCATCTGTGTGGTCCGTAGCTCAAGATGGAGATGGTGAACTAAATCCACAGAGTTGTGGGTGTTGCTGACATCTGGGGGAAAGGGTTTTGCGTTTCCCTCTCTGGAATTGATTGGCTGCAACAACTGACCCAGTTTCCCTATTTGTGTGACATTCTGACTTCATGACCCAATTAAAACATGTTGCACAAAACACATCCACTAATTCTATTGATATTGATTCAATGAAATGTAGCTTTTATTATAACCCCACTGACTATCATCAATGACTTTTTGGAGTGTCACAGAGGAGGTGTGCCCTCTCCTCCCGTCAAAAACAGTTGCCAGATCTTTGATAAATATTTTTATAAGGGTGAGGGTCGTATCTAGGAATTGATGTTTTCTCAGATTTGAGCTGAACTTGACCATATCGCTGGGGCAAACAGTAATATTGAAATGAAATGGGGCAGGAAATTTAAATGAAGTAGACCAAAGAACCCATCACAAAGCAAGAGAAGCAGGAAGAAGAATGGCTTCTTCCACAAAGCCAGCAGGGCATTCATTTGGAGCAGCTCTCTCTCTCCCAGCTCCATTACACCAGAAGCCTTTTCACAGAAAGGCCTCCTGGTCAGTGAGAGGAGAACTTCCTCGGTCTCCGAGGTCCTTCAGCTCTCAGGTCCCCATGCCAGAGTTCAAGAGCTTCCCTGCAGCCAACCAGGTTTCTCCCTCCACATTGACCCTCTCAGGAGCTGGAGAAGGCAGAAAAGGGATCTGGCTACGTACCAAAAAGGGAAACCAAATCAAAAACAAAACATTGAGCCTGCAGCTCAGCCCTCCTGAGGCAGGGAAGAGAAGGCCACTGGCCAGGGCTGAAATAAAAGGGCCAAAAGAAGACAAGTTCGCATTCTCAGGCATTTCCAACTGACTGCATAATTTCAGCCTTGCCTGAGGTAATTCCTTCCCACCAAAACCTGACAGGCCTTTTCTTTTCTCCTATTGGCCCTCAGTGGGGCTGTGAGCGCTGACACCTGCCAGCTCACCTGGCCGGATTGCAAATAGGCCGAGTCCTGGTTGTGGGCCGCGACCCACAGATTGGGCACCCCTGCTCTACCTTGTATTGGTCTTTTAATTTTATGAGGCTTTCAGAAGATCACTTTGGTTTAACTGTTGTGAATACAGCAGTCCTTGACTTACAACAATTCATTTAGTGACCGTTCAAAAATACAAAGGCACTGAAAAAAGTGACGTGATTGTTTTTCATACTTGCGACCATTATTGCATCCTCATGGTCACGTGGTTTACATTTGGATGCTTGGCAACTGACCTACATTTATGACCGTTGCAGTGTCCTGGGATCATGTGATCCCCTTTTGCTACCTCCTAACAAGCAAAGTCAATGGGGAAGCCATTTTCACGTCAAACTGCATAACTAACTTAACAACTGCAGTGATTCACCTAACAACAGTGGCAAGAAAAGTCATACAATGGGGCAAAACTCACTTAACAACTCTCATTTAGCAACATAAATTTTGGGCTCAATTGTCATAAGTCAAGGGCTACCTGTAGTTTTAGAAAGCAATTATTTGAAGAAATAATTCGATAATAATTTATTTTAAAATGTAAATAATTGCAAATGAAAGA